CGCCCCCTGCTGGCCCCACTAACACCTCTTCCAGCAGCAACCTTAGTTTTTCCCAGGAGGTCTCCCATCCAGGTACTGACCAGGCTCACACCTGCTTGGCTTCAGTGGGCTGCCAGTTGTGAGTTGCAGAGTGATATGCCTGCTCACCGATTGTTGTATTGTGATTTCAGAAGCACCCAAACCAAAGTGCTGCTTCTTACCTGGGACCTGTGGGTAACAGCCGCCTGACTTATTTTTTTCTGTTTCATCATCTGAAGCGAAGCTGCGTGCTGCTGCAGCTGGCTCCAGCTCCTCGTCAGGGCTTTGTTTCTGTCCTGCAAAGAAAGCAACCTGTGCACAGAGCAGATGAAAGCTTTTAATGGCTCCAGTTGGTACAGAAACCGGTCACCCATACACGGAAACACTTGAAACTCAGCTGGCAGAAACGACATTTCATCTCAAAGAGATATATGGCTGCAAAACCTCTGTGATGAAAAGATGAAACCCATGTTAACTTAGAGCAACTGCAGAACATTTCTTAAAATGTTGTTTTAATGTTGTCAATAGTAAATATAGGGCTATATTTGCAGTATGCTCACCTTCCAAACACATTATTTTTATTAACTTAGAATATACAATGCCAGTTTCATGATTTTGGCATGTTTTGTACTAATTTTATGAGGGTGTGTTAGTGGTACACAGTAATTCACCTAAGAGGTAACAAATATACTGTATTAGTCAAGTCAACTGTTAATAATTGGTATTACTATTATTATTACTATTATTGGTATTAATATTAATTGTTCTCCCATGCGAGATCTGTTGAACTCCCTTAAGGAAGATTTTAAATTTGTTAAAGGGAACATCTAATGCAAAATAAAAATCAAACATAAACTATACCTAACTGCAGTTCAGGATGTACAGTACCAGACCATTATATTATGACAACTGGACACCAGCAACTGCAACACATGTCTTCTGAATGCCACATACTGATGGCTGTTACAGCACTTGCATTGACATCACTGGCACAAACAGCATCTTTAGGGCAAGAACAGCCTCATACTTCACTAATTAGCAATATTCCTCATTCAGTCCGCTGTGCAGGATTGTTAAAACGTGTAAAGCTGCTTGTTCCGTGCTAGCCTCGCCTCAACCCTTATGAGGATAATGAGCAAATAAAGAAAAAATAAAGAAGAATGTCTGAATGTCTGAATAACAAAGCAGAGAGGAAACAAATACTGGAAGGATGAACAAGAGGGTTACAAAAACTGGAAGGTCCTAATGGAAGGCATCTTCATATGGTTAAAAAAGCTGCATGAGAGGAACAAATTTGGTGGCATTATGGAGAAGGTTTGGAGCTTGTAGTTAAGATACAATGACAATGATCCTATACATCTCACCTGCACAATACAGCTTGGTATAGTTTTGTTTAGTTTTTGTTTCACATTGGATATCCCATTTAAAGAAATAAGAAATTGACTTTAAGCCAATAAAGTCAGTGGATGAAAACAATTTAATGTCTTTTTTATAAAACAATATCTGGTGCAGAAGGAAGAACAGGGCTTTCCTTAACTTCAGGGATGGTTTTCTGCTTCAAATATTTCATTAAAATCCTATTTTTTTCCCTAACATGAAATAAAATCCACTACCAAATGTCAGACTCGCTAACCTTGCTTGCAAGTACATCTCACATCTCTCCTCCAGGCTTGTAGAGCTTTTTGTAATTGAGGGACTAGGGAGAGCTTCTTTGTATGGCTCAATTAATACACACTCATGGAAGCTGAAAACAAACAGCATGCTTTCCAATTCTTTCCTTTCCAGTATTTCATCTGGAGAGGTTTTCTTGTCCCCTAAGCAAAAAAAAGAAGAATGTGTTATTTATATCACTCCATTCATTTCTACTCTGAGTAGATTCTAAAAAGGAATACTGCACTCATACATACTGTAACATTTTCAATGATAATTAAATTAAGAGCTTGGACCTTACTAAGTCTGTAGTATTTTGTGATTAACAGTGATTTTCTTCCTAAGCAAAAATTATTTTAGCTATTACCATAAATGACATATGAAGTGTCACTAGCATTTCTGTTTACAATGACATAAAATAAAACTGTAGTGTTAAATAATACATACGTACATCTTTATTCCAACCACATACACATTCAATACATTGCATCCATGAACAAATGGAAATATGAAAGCATTAAGAAGTTATTTTTAAGCTTAGTGTATTTGAAACAAAAATAAAACCAGATATGTCTAAATGGTGATTACTTGGATAATAAATTAAGTAAGCAATTAATTTTGTAACATCTAATCAACTAAATTTAGACTAAGCAGCTTAAATTATTGTCAAACAACTGTCAACAGCAATGTTAATACAAAGTGCTTCAACCAGTGTTAAGCATTTTTAAAACAATTTATTATATTTATTTTATATTCCTATTTTACCAGTAATCAATTGGTTCAATATATAGTCATAGAATATAAAAAGATCAACATGGAAATGTAAAACAGAATAATTGAATCAAACTTCATTGAAAAAAGTCTAAAAAATTAAGAAAAGGGTGGTCATTATCAAATTGTATTTCAAAATGTTCTACCGTTGTAACTGTTTTTGTCATACTGGTGAGTACACACAACACCTCATATTTGAAAGCTTTGTTTTTTCCTTTGTCAATCCTGAATATTGAACAGTGACTTTTTTCTGTTTTTGCATCTTCGATAGTTTGTGTAATTGAACAAATATTTTCAAATAACAGAGATACATATAGAGATATCTGCATATACAGTATCTGTATTAATTTCAGGATATAAACCCTGGGAAATACTTTACTTTTCTCTGCAAAAAACAGAAATAATGTTGAAGCCCCCAGAAGCAGATAACAGCTGCCACCTCATGGTAATGCATGGTGTAGCACCTATTTTAATATTTTGCTGATGAAATTCGAAGTGTGCGGACTCCACGAAGGCATCAAGAACAGACTTCAGTAAAATGGGTAAATGGGTGGTGTGCCTCACATCTTGATGTCTCACGGCCCGTGAGGTGCTTGGGAAGCAAGGCTTTCTGGAGGAAAATAATTCTTAGCACAATCCTTACAAACACTTGGCAAAGCTCAGAAGAGTTAAGGCATGGACTTGAGTCTCATTGCAGTTTTATTAGCATGCTAGTGTTTCAGTTCTTCTCAGTGGCAGTTCACACAGTCCACAGGAAACTCTAATCCCCCCTTACTTGCACGCTCCCACAGTGCTCCCAGTGGTCTCTCCCCACTCCTGGAGGTACAGACTCCCCTTGCAAGCCACTGTCTTCACTGCACAACGGGGAGGATCAAAGACAGGTACATAACTGGACAGATAGTTACGGTCATACATGAGCAGACAGCTCATAAATAACCTATAGAAAATGAATACCCTCATTCTAGTCAAACAGAGCCCCCATTCCACAGTCCAAAGCAAGAAGCATAGCCACTACACTATGAGCAACTACAAAGAACCAGAGACAGAATTACACTATATAATGCAACAATATATTAAAATAAAACCAGGCACTCCAATCCCTGAATACTGTCACGATACAATTGCAGCACTTATCTAGAGGAGGAAATATTTTAGTACCTCTAAGAAACAGAGTGTGGCTTTCTGGATCCAGCAGGTATACTGGGTTCCAGGGTGATGCGAAGTTGTAAAACGCTGGGAGGCCTAAGCTGCAGATGATCGTCCCAGTAGTGATATCCTGCAGGACAGTCGTGCTATTTCTAAGGATTTGAAGAGCCTGGCAGCAGAATCAGAAGAACATTATTATCCATCAGTGCTCATTCTGATTCAGTTCATCAACACACAGTAAGAAATGACTCTCCCCTGGCACAACAGGACTTACCACATTCTGCAGAAATGGTACGATAACCATTGCAGTAGTCAGGCAGTCCTGATTTTCTGGTCTATTAAAAACACATTATAGAATGAATAGGCACACTCACATCTCATTAATAAAATCTGCTGACACTAAATTTTTCTTTGCTTTATGAAATGAGGATAAAAAAAGAACCATACACGTACCCATAAAATATACAAATTAAAGTCTCAGATTATACATTATTTATGATAATGTATTATAATTTGCCTTTCCAACATGTATAATTATACAGTATCACAAAAGATTAAAATTAAACAGCATATGATCTAAATGCATTGAACAAAGTATTTAAAACTGCGATGACTTTAGTCCACGGAACATATCACCTTTCTGTTAACTTTGTCACAGTGATCTCTTTCCCTCTCCCAGCTGTAACTATGCGAGAAGTCCCATCCTTGCACACCACGAGGAGCTGAATATTCAGATGAAAAGAGGTCACACTAGGGAAATCCCCTGTACAAGCAGGCCGGCAGTACATGAACCGCATGCTGCTGAAATCACTGCCCCCTGGAACTGTGAGAACGGACAGTGGAAGCCCTGTGGAGCAAAACAAGTCATTATTTAGGATATCAGAACTAACACACAGAGGAAATTAACACAAACTAGTAGACCAAAACTAGACGATTTTGCATGTGAGCATTTATCTAGTATTTATTCTAAAATGGATTGTGTTCACATGCCTCTCTGTGGCCAGTTGCAGTTTCTCCCAACATTTTCAAACTGCTTCACTAGTAAAAGCCTGGCTGTATCTTGTAATGATTTTCCTCAATTATAAAGAATTTCAACAAACTTAGATTTTTACAGCAACAGAACTTCAAATATTGAAGTCAAAGATCAAAGACTTTATGCAGGATATATATAGAAGTAAAAATGTCACAAAACAATTTCACATAATAATGTATGTGAAAATGAGATTAAAAAAGGGACTACAAAAACAAACAATTATATCCACCCAAGGTTTTTCTTTGTACTAAATTAACCACTGCACGTAAGAAATATTTCTCACATTAAAATTAAGATCAAAGCTAAGGACTTAAAAAGCTCAGCTGGCTACAGAATAAATTAATCTAATAAATTAATAAATTAATGAGAAATTAAACATATTTTATATTGATATTCAATATCAATAGGTTTTAAATCTATAGTTCTCTAGGCACATACATGATGTTATTTGCATTTTATATATTTAGCTTGGATTCCACCACTTTAAGATCAATAGTTTGTTGATTTTCATAGTAGTTTTTTTTAGGATAACTAAATCTACCAGGTGTTAAGTTCTTGATATAGAATTTAAAATAGCAAAAATGTGTTCGGTATGTATCTGTATAGTCATTCAAAAAGGCATGATTTTAATTAACACAAAACAATAAAAATAGAACCACACTCTGCCTGAGTAGTGAAGCCTCATTACCAATGACATGATTGAAGATAGTGTTCTGTGAGAGAAGCAGCCCGGGGAATGAGATGATATTCTTCAGAAAGCAGCAAACTAGTCAAAGAAACCTGGAAACCAGCTCTGTGTGGGACAGGCCAGTCAACAAGACCTGTCCAGGCACTCATCTGATCCATCTGTGTAACCTTTTCCAGACTATGGTGGGTACAGCATGTGAGTCTTCCAGCAAGCCAATCTGGAAGAGTCTATTTTCCAACAGGAAATTGCATAACTACGTACACAGGGCTAGGATTACAATGGCACAACTTCAATGCTGCAGACTTGCCTTGCCTGGTTTTTTTCTACTGCCCTGAGTTGTATTTCTTCTAGTATTTTTGTTCACTCTAAGTGTTTTTATATTCGTAGTTAACCTTTAAAATCCAATAGATCAGAGTGTTGCATTTATTCTGTTCAGCTGCAGTAACTCCTATAGAAACATAACAAAAAGATGACGAAAAACAGGTGAAACTATTAAGAATGACAGGGCAGGGAGGCACTAATAGGGGGTTTGACTTCTGTTTCCTTGAGATTTTAATGAACAGAACATGCTCTTCCAAGTACAGTCAATACTCACCTAAATACTGGTTCCATACTGCGAGCAGGCCACCAGTAAACCCCAGAGCTATGCACTGAGTGCATCTGCTGATCGTTGAGCAGACAATTGGGCGGGCGTTCGGCCAAACAACATCCGGTTTCGGCTCATTATCTAGTTTATAAAAATTACAACTAATTCATTACATTCACTCACATTACCTACAGATTTGAATACAATAGTGCAAGACAAAAAAAGTTTATTTTCAAGGAATAGAAAATGTAAAACAAACACAAAGAACAGCTACATTAAAATGTCAGGAGATTCTATCCTTCTCTCCTTCAGTTTATTGTATTACAACTGTAATACAAAAGAAGACTGCCACCTAGTGCTAAAAAATTATCACTACACTTTTGTTTCAATGTAGTACCATATGTCAACTGTCAACTGTAGTACGCCTAGCGTTGCACATCATGTTTGCTATGAATTTATAAATCCATTCCTTCTAAAGCACAATTATTCCTACTGCAAGTTAATAAAATCATACTCATAAGGCAGGCAGGACTCTCTGTATGGTTTGGTATATAATGGCTTCTGTCTAACTAAGAGCGATGTTTACATTTGACTCATTATCACATTACAGGATCAAAACGTAGTACACTTTCTTCCCAAAAATAAGGGCCATATAATGTATGTATAGAACTGTAATATTGAATAAGTTGGGAATAATTATTAAAAAGATTAATGAAAGAACAAAACCTTTAACAGTCTGCTACCTGCTTTGTCCTTTGAGGGTCTCAGGAGCAGATATTGAAAAAGATTATGATTTCCACTCCACCACACACTGATACCTACAGGCAGCCCTAGGAATAAAAAAGCATGACTATGACTGTTATAATCTGTAAGAAAATCTTCACAATACTCAAAACATTGCATAGGAAATCAGTTATATGCAAATTCAATTCATTGTTTTTAGATCATATTTTTAAGTTTTAAGAATACTTTCAGAGATATCACTCCCATAAATCACTCCTCAACTGACTTGCTTTCAGATTGTAAACATGGGAAATTAGTGTCAATTAATGCTGTTGCGTGACTTCACTGAAATGTGTAATGGTATTAAATATGACAAAGTCCAAGAGACAACATACTGTATATAAGTATGACATGCTAAAGAAATTAGTACCTAAAAATGTGAAATACTCCCCAATTATCATTCTAAGTATTACATTGCAACTTTATTCGCCCAATCTTCTGGTCAAACTTCCAAATCCAAAACAAATCATATCAATCAGTCCAGTTCAGTTTATTGTCATATGCACTAGTGCAATAGTTGCTTATAGTTTGTTCACAAGGAAAACTGGTTTAATTGGTTAAAACTGGTTAAATTGGTTTAAGCGACTTGTAAAAAACATAATAACATACCTCTCTGATGACCTTTTGATTCTCCAAAAATTGGAGACAATCCACCAGGTAGGTGAAAGTGAAAGGTGCATTGACTACAAAATAATGTAAAACACATAAAATATGAGCAATTGTACAACCTGCTGTATTTGTTATAGATCTTCAAGGGTGAATAAAAATAGCTTGTTAGGAAGTAGAAAGTAAAAAAGATATCAGAAAAGTATTTTTATCCATATTTATGCTCAAACAGTAAAGCCCTTTTTTCTCTTTTCATTATCAGAAATTTAAATCAAATATAACAATAAACATTCTTATTCAAAGGAGAAATTGGCCATTTATTTATTCCAGAGAGATCAGATTTAATTTATTCTTCTCTTTCCCAGATGTCCTTTAATTTAATATTTTGGGGGAATTTTTAAATTCAGTACAAATATAGAATTGCCCAATGCAATATTACAAAAAACATGTAACTCTGTCGAAGGATGTAAATCAATTGACCCATTAACAAAATTAGGAAATGACATAAAACAAATAAGCAGAGGTCTGTAAAATGTGCAGGACTAATTTGACCACATCAGCATTGTATTGTTGTATAGACTTATTGTATTTAAACTGTACCACTATATAACTATTACACTTGCCTGTATTGAATTATTGTAACCCGAACCTCCACCCTGAACAGTGGATTCTGATAAACAACTACTGTATATGGAACAAGTAAGGTTTATTCCATGCTGAAAAGAGAAGAAAGGAAACACATTTCGGCTGTGGAGCCTTCTTCAGGATATAACTACTGTATATGCCTTCCTTTTCTTGTTCACCTTGGTCTTTCTTCGTCTCTCTTGGGTTCAGCTGTTTCTAGGTATTTTTTGTATACAGAATTAAATGCTGCCTCTTGTTTTTCCCACTGTTGCAAGCTGATCATGTGGTTTTGGCCAGAACCAATTACAGAACCATCTTCCGTCTTCTGTAGAACTTCAAAGGGGCTTTTCAGTGATGTCCCTAAAAAATGAAGATAGTTTTTTACTCCACAGGAGTTAGAACATTCTGTATGGATGCAGAGCAACAGATTAACACAAGCAAAACATTTTGTGAGCACCAAAACACAATTCAAAGATTAAGCTGTAATGTAAGCCATTTTTTATATTAATAGGTTGATGGCTTCTAAATATCTCAAACCTGTCACTAATTTTAAAATCTTACATTCCATACCATAGCATTATATCACCCACACTCGATATCTATGCTTATACATTAAAACTATCATCATACCCACCTGACTGATAAAAAAATACTATATTTGCAACCTTAAATGACTTTATAATGCAATATACATAAAATTCATTTTATGCTACATCTTTGTTTCTAATAAACTATAGGGTTTAAGCTGTGAACAGACCAACTACATTAAAATACAAAGGAACAAGTAAAGGTTTATTCCCTGCTGGAAAGAGAAGAAAAGAAAAACAATGTCTCAGCTCAGCAGCCAAAACATTGTGTTTCTTTTCTTCTCTTTTCAGCATCGAATAAACCTTTAGTTGTTCCTTTACAGTGTATGCATGCTGATGTACAGTAGCTACCTACGTGAACTACATTATAATGTTTTACTCGGTATTAAAAGAAACATCTGATAAGCATTCCATAACTTTAAACATATTACCTGAAAGTACTTTTGGAGGCTTGATTTTCATTATCATTGTGAAAGAAGAAAGCTTTACATCTGCATGACTAGTCATGTGAGTTGCCTATAAAGACAGAGCCATACAGTACTGTTTGTACTTCATTGTTCATTCAAACTGCATGTACTTACTGAATGTTTATCATAACATGCTCAAAACATTTACATTGTTAAAATGTCCTTTGATAAAACGTCTAATCACATTGTTTCACACACAGCACTCAACAATACGTTAAGTAAGTTGTCAGTACCCTTGTTATTGTTGCAAAAATAAATCCCAAATATTTTCAGTGAAAACATGTTTATCCTGAAACTATTATAAAATGTTCTAAGTTTCATAAGATAGCACCACAATCCAAAGACATACGTGTAGGTTAATGGGCTTCTGGGAAAACTGGCCCTTGTGTGAGTGTGTGAGTGTGTGAGTGTGTGTGTCTGTGTCTGAGCCCCGTGATGGACTGGCATCCTATCCTGGGTGTATCCTGCTTTGTCCCTGTTGATTGCTGGGACGACCCTGAATGAAGCAGTTAGAAAATGAATGGATGGATAAAATGGCATAATTAATTTAAAGGCTGCTGGAATTATATTAAAGATTTTTATGATTTTACATTAAACAGGAACTACATACAACTGAAGGTAGCTGTAATATTTTTAAAAATGGGTAAACACAATAAATGGAATTTCTTAACTTTGTGGTTAACAGAAACAGGGTGTGGATATGGGTAAGACACTTTATTCTACCTGTGTTACAAACAAACCTCCATGTGATTTTGAGAAGAAAATGAGTCTGTGAAAGGCCCCAGTGCAGGCAAGGGTTCAGTGCTTGTAATTGTGTGAAAAAGCATTGTATTGGAATGCCAGCACAGACGTCACTGCCACCTGCTTCTGTGTTGCAGCCTGTGTGATCTCCAGCTCCCTCAGCCAGGAATCTTTTGGAAATCGATAGACCTCGAGCCAGGAGTCTCCATTGCCTGCAAGAGGAGAAAACATCCTAACAGTCACGTTGAGCAACTGAGCAATTAAAATTAGGGGAAATGTGTTTCAGAGAAATGCCCACAGATATTGTATGAGCCAGACACTGTGATTCATCTGGAGCAAGGAAAACTAGAAGTGAGTCATTGACATTTTGATTGCAGTACCATTACGCAGTCTAGTCTTTGTGTACTGCAGAAACACCCTTGACCTTTATTAAACTCCATTCCCTACAGTAAACATCTATAAAATTCACAGATCCAAAACTTAAAAGGCTGAACTTCTGCAGGTATGGTATCAGGCTGGCTTAAATGTGAATATGTACAATCTGTTCATGGAACACATGCTTTAAATACTGTAGATCAATGGTATTCTATTGTGAAATTTACTGATATGTACAAATAAACTAAATAATAAACAAAAACTTACATTCTAACACTATCCCAGCAAAATCACCCCCTTCGGACAGTTCAAATTTTGTACAGATGTTCCTTCTGCTGACATCATCCTGTATTTTAATAAAGTTTAAAAAACAATGCAAAATGTTGCACAAATCAGTAAGAGGAGAAAAACATCTATACAGTCTACATTGTAGTACACATGATTTCCTATGGAGCTAAAATATTTGCATGCTTTTTAAATTTCATTCTTGTTGATTTCAATTTAAAACAAAGGGAAGATTCAATGTTACCATTATGTACGTTAGTGTCCTGTGAGGTTTAAAACAACTGCTGTTACACATACAGCTCTAGATAAAACTTACAGTTTCATTGATGACTTTGATTAACAGGATGCAGTCAGCAAAACAGACAAAGAGCCGTGAAAGACCTAGAAAAAGCAAAACTGCAATTTAGTAAAGGCAAGCAATTTATTTATTGACGAAGAGGCAGAAAAGCCATACACAAGAATAAGAAAATGTAAAATGTGTAAGGATGTTTCAGCTTCTACATACCCTCACTCTTTCCGAGAGAAGAAATCTCCAGTATCTTAATAAGTTTTTACTTTTAGGGGTCGAAAACTATACTAATAACTTTTATTAACACACACGAGGATAACCAATAGTTTACCCATGTCATCCACAGTCCCAAGGAGATACACCTGTTCCCCAAGGACTGTAGCGCAGACAGACGTTATCTCCACCTCCTCCTCCTCCCAGGCTGAGACAGTGGAGAAAGTGGAAACGCTGATGACAGAAAGCCCCTTGGAATGGCCGAGGAAGACATACTTCCCATCCCCAGAGCTCACAAGACAGTTGACTCTTGTAGAAAGCTGTGTAAAAAAAGCAAACACACAAGCGCTGGCAGTCTGCAGTACACACGACGCTTTCTTGAAGACAGTATGATCTTCAATACATGTGGTAGTACACAAGAAAAGGAGAAGGTGAGTTCTGTGTTTACTGTTGTAAATACTGAGATATATTTGTCAGAGCAAGCCACAGCACAATATGAATCAGATTTTGGTAAATGATAACCGTAGATAATGGTACAGTACATGTATAATTCACTGCTTTAATCCACGGAATACCATGTTTCAGTTCTACTATTATCACGGCGAGCCACATACACACACACTGTATTAAGGATCTTTGCACAGTAAACCCCGATATATTACGATATAACTGTTCACCAGATTATTGTAGATATGTTGTACAGGGATGAGTATCCGAGTTCTTTTTCAGAAAAGAAGAGGAGTTGGGCGGTGTTAACGTTTACCTTAATTTCTCCACTTGCTTCCCACACGGGAACATTTTTCTTTGCCTGCTCAGCAGCTCTGAGCGCCTCTCTCTCGGAAATGCGGTCCCACGCTTGGTCGATCAGGCTGTTCAAGACTTTGTCGATCATGCGAAAGGGCTGGGGCAGCGTATCCTTCAGTTGGTCCGGGTCCTTCAAGTACATCTCCTCCTCATCCTCACTGCCGCCTCGCTCTGAAGGAGCTGGGATCTCTGCTGGGTTCTTTCTAATGTACACAGGCATCCTCGCGGCTTTTCATCGCCCAGGAGAAACACAGTCCTGTATGTCTGGTGTTATAAATAATTGGAAAAAATCATTCAAACATTAGGTTATGGGCGAGAGGGGTCGACAGAAATCCAAGATGTTATTATTATCTAACATGTTACAGCTTAAATGCAAAGAAAGCAAATGTGCCTACCACGTTTTCCATGTACAGTATTAAAGCATAATAATGCATGTAAAACCCCACATAAGGGCCTACATGCGGCGACGGTCTCGCAGTTCACAGGCAAAGAAAACGGGACTAAGCCACGATTGCCATCGATATTCATGTGAAATTACAATAACCTACAAAAAGTTTTAAGAAATAACGAGTTCAGCTCACCAGTTCTCTTCGTCCGTATCAGCAGTTGTATCTGGTTGCCATGGTACCCCCTACAGGAAGTACCGGCACCTGTCCGCCTAGAAAAATGCTCCCTGTGGCATCTGGGACTTGTTATTTAACACGTAACAGGCTGATCACGTTTGCATTTGGTCCTCAATATAGTGTTGCATTATGTATGTATTTACACATCTCTTTAAAGTATAGTTCCTAAACCCTTAACTATAGAAAGCAGAACAAAGCGAAACCTTTATGCTCCAAACTAGAAAAGAAAGGGCTACTAAAGATTAGCTGAACGTCTGGCTTTGAATGCGAAGCAATTGCAACCAAATTAATTGCACTAAAAGATCAATCTCTCTGCATAAATGGAGAACTCGTTTCGGGGTTATCTGGTACCACAGCTCATCGCGCTGCTGTGCTCTGTATTATTACACGAGCCGTGTTTGCGGACGAGCGTGGCTGATGCACAATGACCTTTGTTTCCCACGGGTCTGTGTGAAAGGGAGCCTAGGATCTCCTCACGTCAGTGGGGCTCCATAAATAAAGGTCTGGCAGCGCTTACTTCAGCTGTGTAGCTTCTTCAGTTTTGTATAAGAGAAAAAAAAAACATTTAAAAAAACGGGCTCCTTCGTTAAACCCGGCAGGCGTTAAATAAAAGTTACCGCTGCCGTCCGTTTTCCTGGACTTGCAGGCTCTGCTGAATGTTACATCACACGACCATATTGTAAAACAAAAGTACCTCGTTCCATTAGCGGTGCCTTACAGGTTCAATTTATTAATCTTGAGAAACATTTATAATGGAACATTTCATAAACTTCACTAACCAAAGCCAGGGAAGGGACCGGATTTTCAGGTAAGTTGTTCGATTATAGTATTACTACCTGTAGTTGTGTTACAACCTGCAGTGTCTTGTTGAGGAACTGAAGTGACATATGTCCCCAAACAGACACTCAAAGTAGTAAGATCGCATATTAATTATAATGTAGAATTAAAGCGTGTGTTTCATAAACGGTGAACAGAATGTCCTTTTGCCTGGCTGTTATTAAAAGACGTGTTTAATATCATATTTAAGTGGAACGAGTTGGTATGACACCTGTTGTCGAACTGAATAAAGCAAAATCAAATCAAATAAGAGCGTGCAAAATAAAAAAATGTGATCTTTGTCAAAGATTCTTTCGCTTAAGGGATTGGTGAAATAGTTTTTAAGTTACGTAGTCGATTTAAATCATTTACAGAAATGCGATCTCGCCCGACTTTCCCACTAGGAGTAGGATGATCTAGAATTCCTATTCCTTCAAATTCAAACGGAGAGAGATGATCGACAATCGGCGTGCTCCACAATATTATCACCATGTTTTAGTTTATTTTTAATCACTGTGTGTATTGGTGGTTGACCAATTCAGCGTTTATTTTTCCCGCATGAACGCAGGTGCATAAAGATGTAGTTTCTTTCTCTTTTTTACTAAGAAATCTAGCATTGGATACAAGTTTTCTTTTTCAGAATCCCCAATAAAAAGACTGGTGTAACAATAGCAAGAACAAGATGATGTTACTTGGAGGTTTAAATTTGTATTGTATTTTCATTTCTCATCTTATAGAGCACATTTTGCCGCTTGTTGTAAATTTCAGCTCATAAAGAATTAATATCTACACGATCTAAGCCTGTTTCAATACTTTAAAAAAATATATTTAAACATCAGAAATACAAAAAAGGAGACAATATTAAAACAGTTACAGAAATAGACGCTTCACAGCCAGAGGAATTCACAAGGATAAAAGCTGAAGATTAAGGTTTTTACATATTTCCATTATATGTCTTGCCTTTTGATTCTTTAAATGTCTAATAGAATTCAAATAAAAAAAGGAATTCTATCTTATAAGCATTAATAGAGGGAGCAGTATTAGACCATTTACTTTTGTGGATGAAGTATTTCGCCAAAATAATGAGCAGCTAAATAATAAAAACAAATACTTTATCCCAATCAGGTCTAACAAAATAGAAAATAATATCAAACTCTGTTTCAGTACTCCTGCTGGAAGACGCTCTTGAAAGTGCAGTATGTGCTTCCTTTCAGAGCTACGCAGTACGCATGCGCCTTGCTGAAGTATTTGATACGAAATAAGGCCGCAAGGGCAGAATTAGCAAGAAAGCTGGACAACCTGGAAAAGAATATGAGCGCAGGGAGGAAATGTAAGTACCTGCTCCTGTGACAAACACACCCAGCAGTCAAGTGCTTCTGAATAAAGCAGCTATAATTACAAATGGGGGTTGCAGGTTCTGACTGATTTACTTTGCATGTGGATCATATATTTCCATTGTGTTGGGGTGCTGTGTGCTCTTCCATTGTGTGCTTCTCAAAGGAGTTGCACATACAGCACCGGGGATTGGAGTCTTCCTGTCGCCCCACATACCAGGCAGTGTTCAAAGACTACCGCGATAAAGGATACCCCTAATCTTGGAGGGGTGGAGGGGGGTTTGTCTTTAATCTGTCTTTGAGCAGTGTCTTCCTTCTGGCTTCTTGAACCTTCACATCTCTGCATAATCAAGGAACCTCCACCAGTAGCAGGTGGCTGGTGTTTTAGAGCTGTGACTCGCTGTCCACACTGGAGGACCGATTTCTAACTGCTTCTCCCAGTCCAGCATGGCGGGGGAGCCCCAGTCTGTCCCAGCAAGCAGCAGGGCAGGGTATTGTATACCCTTGACGAGCTGCCCTTCGATCACAGACACAGACATGGACCCACTCACACTGGGTTCAGTTCTTCCAGAGGCCAGTTAAATTACCAGCGTGTTTGTGGGGGGGGGGAGGGAATTGCAAACACTGGCAGAACATGCAAACTCCATGCAGATAGTGCCCCAAGTCCAGAATTGAACCCAACACCCCAGAGCTGCAAGGCAGCAATGCTGACCACTGCAACGCTGCATAGCTTGGACGCACGACTGTCTTGTGTCATAACTGAAAAAGTGAACGTTCCATTTTAATCGGGGTTCGCCTTCTTTTCCTGAGCAAGACAACGGGAAAGGAGCCGTTTCTCACAGAACCCTCAGAGTTGTGCCTGTGCCTGCTTCCTCCTGCAGTGTTCAGGCTGGGGAACACCGTGAGCTCTGTGCATGCAGCCAGGCGGACTCTGCAGCTCTCCGATCCCGTCCTGCGCGCCTGCCTGGCCGCGGCCCACCTGAGCCGCGCGCTGTACTTCATCTGCGATAACCTGCTGTGGGCCAGGAGCCTCGGGTTCCTCCAGCACCTCGACAAGGAGCGCTGGGGCCTGCTCGCCTCGCGCTTCTACCTCGTCTCCCTGCTCCTGAACCTGGCGCGGGACCTGTACCAGATCTCCCGCATCATGGGACGCAGAGCCCGGGATAAGCAGGTCCAGGAGAAAATCAGCCGGCACCTCGGCAGCAACGGGGACGTGGCGTGCATGGTGGTCCCGAAGCTCGACGCCTTTCTGCTGCTCCTCTGCGAGAGCCTCCGGAGCCACCCCCCCCTGCTCCTGGACACGGTGAAGAACGTCTGCGACCTCTTCATCCCAATGGACAGCCTCCGCATATACAAGACCAACCCGGGGGTGGTGGGGTTTTGTGGGCTGGCCTCCTCGGTTTTGGGAATACTCTCAGTCCTGCAGCCGAGCTTGAAAGTGAAACCGTAGCTGTGCGCCGGCGGAGGGGACAAGGTGGCTGGTGGTGCGAGAGAGATTGCTGAGCGCTTTGGTGCTGCGGCTTGAGCTGCAGAGGTTTATGGGTAGTGATCACTAACAATCCTAATGCTGTTTGCTGACTTTCTGTAGTCGGGGGGTGCTGATCTTGCTCCATAGGGGGTATTACTCCTTCACTGGCAGGGAGCAAATTAGCACCTGTTCGCAAGAGGAAACCGTGCTGCCAGTGCAAGTGTGGGGTTTTCCCTTATATAAAGGGGGTTAATCATAAAAAGAGAGGATTAAGAATTCAATCTGGAAAAGAATACTAATGTCAACCTAATTTCAGTTTCTTATTATTTATAATTTTTGAAAGGGATGCACGTCTGGGAGATTGTAATGAGAGGACCACAGAGCGACAGAACACTTCACTTAGTATGAGGAGAAGAACTATCTACTCTGTGCTGTTGAAAATTCTGCTGTCTGCTTAATTGAAACAACATCACATTCATAAGTGAAAGAAAGAATTCAAAGATTAAGTTTAATGACAATATTTTCTTGAAAATATGATTATTCCATAAAGCAAATATCTTTCAATCCACTACCTGGTATGATGTTGGCTAAATCAAGGAAGCACTGTATTTTTTCTACCTACTTACAGAGACTTGTCTGTGTTAATGAGGTAGATATTGAATGCACACACCTGCTTCTACTGCCAGCTGTTAGTACTATTCCTACCTCACACCCATTTGGTACCAGAACTTGTTCTCTAGTTAAATTATTTCTTTCTAGTCATTCCTACAAATTATGTTAACCAATAGAAAAACTGTTCTTGATTAATAATATTGTAGCGCTTTCGGGTTCACGTGGGTATGCATCCTCGCCGCTGACGCCTCAAGTCGGCCCCCCACCGCTGGGGGCTCGAACCTGGGCCTCTGGAGTCACTCAACAGGGACCCAGCCGGCTTAGCTAAAGGGAGATCTCCCCTCAGCTCAGCGGCTGAGGTCCCTGCTATTCACAGGGAAGGGCGGTGACATCACTGCGCTGGCAACCGGCTTGCACAACCTGTAATGTTGGCCGTATGCGTTACAGTATATAGAGTATGTTCAACTAAATTATATTGAGATCTAGCAAGCAGATACCATTGATTTGTATATGGTTGTGTTTAACAAAATTAACAATGAGAATGAAAAAGATTTACCTTCAAAATAACATATAAAGCCTTCCTTTTTATTGTAACAATTGAGATTTTGTAGTTCTGAGAACTTTTTGTAAGTTCTCTGCAAACAGTCTTGAAGTTCCCGTTTTTGAAAAATGTAGAGTCGAGGCATCCCTTAAAACAAGGAAGTGTTAGAATCAACCCTTAGCCTTTATAAAAATTACAAAGTATAATTATGTGTATTGGGAAGTGCTGTATGTCATACGATGACAAAAGTAAACTGCACACGCACATGTAATAAATACATAGGGCTACAAATGTATTAAATGTTCATGATGGCACTTGTTTCTATGCTGTTTTTTATCTTTCTATATTAATAGAAATGGTACACTTTAATTCTACTGTACAACAGACCCTTTTGAAATAAACAATTACTTTTTTTAATTTCACCAGGTTGAAAATATTTAAATGTTTCTTTAATCAGAATAGAGAAAGATATTTGCCAAATGAAAATGGATGGATCAACAATTCTGTTTTGTTCGATTTCTGTTTAAACAGCTGTGACCCTTAACAGAGATGAACTTTGGTTTAAAGACAGCAGATCCTCATTTTAAAAGCTACTATATACTCTGTGATATTGTATCATCTTTATCTAGCATATCTTTTTGGAGTTTTAGAATTGCAGCTATTCTAACTAAAATAAGAAATAAGCTGCTTTATGGATACATTTACAAAGCAACATTGACATCTTTTGAAACCGATGCTGTGGAGGATGCAAATAAAGGAGGAGAGCAGTTTCAAAGTCAGTTCCACTTGATTCAAGTCCAGACACAGAAAGAAGAAGCTGTTTGTTGTAGATACTGTACCCAGCTTCGTTGTTAGGGGACTGGTCAATCCCGAGTTGCAGACAGAATGTCCTCTGTGACACCGAGCTTGTACGAATGTTTGACTCGGATTCAGGATTTCAAAATGATCCTTCAGGATTGCACAAAAAATCACCTTTCACCCAGATTGTTAGGATTTGCTCACAGACTACATGAGTAGAGAGAAATCTGGGGCTTATTGAAGAACAAAGACTAACACTGTAATTTGACATAGTTGTAACTGCACTGGTCATGAACCTATTGTTTTTCTGCCAACATACATTAATTGGCCAAAATACTATGAATCCGTATTAAAATGGAGAGACTATAACAGGCAATCCACAGCTGGCTTGAGGAGCATGAAAAATATTTCCATAATCTTGCCTAGCCTGAAGAATCCCTCCATCTCAATTAAATTGAAAATAGTTCAAGTAGGTGGCTGCATCAGCATGCGTAAGCTGCAAAGGAACAGGTAACAGGTTTATTCCATGCTGAAAAGAAGGGTGAGCCACACCTGAAGAAGGCTCTGAAGCCGAAACGTTGTTTCCTTTTCTTTTCTTTTCAGCATGGAATAAACCCGTTACAAAGTGAAAAATGGTGGAGCAATGCAGTTCGAACCCAAACATAGGAATTTCCCACACTGGATGGTGGTCTCTTTTTGTTGAGAAATCACTCTTGGTAAGAGCTATTTTAGCCCGAAGGTGAGAAGTCTCCCTTTGTTTCCGGGGACACCTGAACAGTCTCCGGAGATCTCTGGAGGTCCACAAACTCCTGCTGTAGGCCATTGCCTTCGTGAAGAGGATCCAGATAGACAAATTGATAGGTTTGGATAACAGTGGCTCAAAACATTATTGGGTGGGAATTACTAAGATTTTGACCAGTGGGTTAAGTTCTTGTTAGACTAACAAAACCTGCTTCAAATACATTAAGTCTTTATCATTCTGTTATGCTAAATTTAATTAATTTGTTATTACTATTGTAATCCTTTTCTCTTAATTTATTACCCAACAATAACCCAACATACACTTTGCTTGAACAGCTAGGTCTTATAGCCAATTTTCCCCTGACTTCGAGCACTCACTATTTACTATACACTATTGACTAAACTGAGCCGTAGTAGAGCCAACGCGAAAAACAACATTTTTTGTCCCTAATTCATACCTTGTGTGTAGCAAAAAGTCTTACTTGGGCCTAAACTACATCATAAAACACTTGTAAAAACCTTACCGAAAACTTTAGTCGTAGCCCAAATGTTAGATTGTAGAGCCACTCCGAACACTAGGCTCTTCTAAACGCGTGATCAGGAATGTGCAATTATGTTTTAATTAGAAAGCACAGTGCACTATCAGTGCTTCACGAACTGAGTATACCATGTCAAATTTGAATAGTATTTTCGCGGTTTTCCTATGGTTTCTATTATACCATTAATTAACTGTATTTACGTTTTCCCCGGTGTCCCACTTGTCGTAGTGAGCATTAACCATAACTCTGGGTTTTAGGTGTTTAATCCTGGTATCACTGCGATTTGCAGTCGTATGTATATGTAATAAAAAACTTTAATCACTATTTAGAAATGACATTCCGAGTTGTACAGTTTTGGCATCATAGCCACTGAATCGCAGAGACACTGTCCCAAATCCTAAGTAAGCTAAGGGTTTTAGGAAAATGTTCTAGAGAAGAGGGAAAAAAAACGTGATATCCTTAATGCATGAGTTATTTGAGCATCACACATTAAGTCATTACATCTCTACGAGCCTTTAAAAACCCCTGCTTTCCAGCGCGGAGGAAGTGCTGGACAGGTCTGGACCGATGTGGGCGGGGAATGACAGCTGGTATCTATTTGCCCGAGGCCCCTCCGCTCAGTCCTTTCCCCAGAGGAGCCGAGTGGCGGACACAGTGAGCGCTGCGCCTTCAGGCTAGAGTGAGTATTACTATAGCACCGGCCGGGAAGCATCAGGGCTGCACCGCTGTTTTGACAGATAACGTTTTCGGGATTCCGAGGGCTCAGAAGACAAGAGGGCACAAATGAAGCTGATGCCAAGCCCTTCCATGTGCCACCAAGTTCGCCACTTAAAAATGCGTAGTTGTGGTGCTTGATTTCGTAAGTGTTTACTGCGGGTTTGGTTTATAAGTTTTACGTAGTTGCAACACCAGTGAAACTGGTCGAAATTCGGAGCCACGCAAAACGGCGTTTTTACAGCACTCAGCAGGAGGGGTACAATGAAGAAAAATATCTTAATTGTAGCATATTTATACGTTTTTTTCGACTACGGACTGAAACAAAATCTGTTAATGCAAGCCGTGTGTATCATACGGGTATCCTAGCTTCATGAGCGGTGCAGTGTTAGTATGAGATTATTTGTATTTTTCTGATGCTTTTTGTAATTCTTCTTTTCATTCATGATATTAGATGTGGCACGGCTCTGTTTTCCAAATTAAAGTCTTCTTTCAGTTGTTTGCTTTTCTTGACCCGCTTGCCTGGAATATGACTGATACGAAGTTGTTGGTTGCGTGTGTTAGTTTGTGGGCTATTCTATTTGAAACGGTTAATCTGGGAAACTTCACTCTGGGAACTCATTTTCGGAGACGATCTGGCAGATACCTTGATTGTTATCCGCCACCTCCTGACAGTTTATCTCTTGACTGTTCACTGGAGAATCCCAGTTTCTGTTTCTATTGACAGGCTGAACTTCCACAATGGCTACAGAGAAGACAGTGCCTGCTCCACCTGAGAGCACAGAGGTACAGAAAAGCATTCTGAAAAAATCGTTTTTTTGTTTTCACAGAATACACCAAAAATACTAAAACAATGACTGCCTTTGGAATGATGACTGAATGCAAATACTTTACAAATACAGCAAGTACAAATACTGCCAGATCTTCCTAACTTCTCCTTCACAAAAGTAATGGTCCGTTTGTGAAAAGTTAGGGTTGCTTGTTAGCTTCCTATGAAGTCCTTTAAGGAGCACTGCTGCCTGTTAAAAAGCACACATGAAATTAAAATGTTTAAAGGAGAAATTGATTTTCGTGTGCCAAGGAGGTAACTTCTAAATTCATCTGCTTGGATGATGAAAACAATACGAAAGGAAAAGGGGAAAAGGGAAACTGTTCAGGGCAGTGACTGCTGGCTCTGACCCCCCTCGCAGGAGAGCGTGCTGGCCCGGCTCCTGGCCCTGCCGGTGGTCGACGGCACGTTCGCTGTCATCGAGAGGGCCTACAGCAGCACCAAGCACGTGCACCCTGTCGTCTGCTCCGTCTGCGAAGTGTACGAGACGGGCGCCAAGGTGGCCACCAGCCTGGCCGTGCTGAGCATCCAGCCTGCCATCCACAGACTGGAGCCGCAGAGTGAGTACGCCTTCGCCCCGTGGATCTCCAGTTTCCACTGTGCGCCCGCTACGCTAGACTACGATAAGTGCAATGGAACAAGTAAAGGTTTATTCCATGCTGAAAAGAGAGGAAAAGAAACCCAACGTTTCAGGTGTGGAGCCTTCTTCGGGTGTAGAAGAAGCACCCCTGAAGAAGGCTCCACAGCTGAACCTTTGTTTCTTTCCTTCTCTTTTCAGCATGGAATAAACCTTTACTTGTTCCATTGCGGCCTACGGCTTCTGAGGCAGCTGCCCACTTGAGCTACGGTAAATGCAGTTTATAATGAACGTTCAGGATGGAGGACACAGCCGAGTTCGATCAGCCTCAGCTGTCAGTAATTCGCCATCAGTTCTGATGTAACTTCTTCACTTAAACATTAAAAATGATGTAATCCCCTTCTCTCCCTCGCATAAGTCTATCGCATCCCTCCTTCAGCTCGTCGCCACCTCTGCAGCTGCCCTTGGTCTCTCCTCTCGCTTCCAGCCTCCTCGTCAGGCCAGGAGGTCAGCCCTCAGCCAAGGGGTTAAGACAAATTTTATTGTGACCGGTGCAATCCATAAACCTTTCAGTATACTGAATTCCTGGCTGCTGTTATTCCTAGTGAATTAGTTGCAGGGCAGTAGTCTGTATTTATAAGGGCAGTGCCTTTCTTCCTTGTTTTTGTTGCCATATGAAACAATTGTAGAGGTGTGAAGTGTGTATTCAAGGCTACAAGCACACAGTCAGACAGCCACTGCGCAGGTTATTGGTCTGTGCTGGGATTCCAGAGAGTTAATTCAAGCTTTATTAATGACACCAGGGGAGATTTGTCCAACACAACATGACCATCACCACCAAAAAAAGAGGTCAGGACAAAACAAAATGTCAGGAACATGTCCTGTGAAAGCTGTGATTAAAATTCATATTTTTATACATTATTTTAAAGTGTAATTGCAGAGGGGAGCAACAGTTACGCAGATACTGTACATTTCTGTGCACAGAGGCGTCTTCCAGATGGAAGTGAGATCAGCACTGTCTGGATCTCTGTGTCTGTGTGGAGCTGTTATGCTCTCTTGGTGTTTTCAGGGAGTTTGGGTGGGTCCTTCAGGTCCCTTCCACCTGGTTAGTTTTAGATTATCAGCTGTTATCCGGTGGAGGGCCTGATCCAGACGCCTGCTAGCCTTCAATAGACCCCTGAGCTCGTAGAGTGCATTTAGACCAATCTGATTTACCCCAGTGATTCTGCTGTTTATGTTCGCTATTTTCCCCGAACCCATTACGGTTTGCAGTACTGATACTAACAAACCAAGAGGAAAAACAGCACATATTGTATAAGATGCATTCTGTAAAAGATTTAGAGCAAAGCTCTGAAATACTCCCACTTTAAGTAGCTAAGCTTACTCAGAAAAAATCTCTGCCTTAGGTGAGGTGCCAAACTATGTTTAGTGTAATAATTGAAATATCAAAGATATACATATGTACACCCCACACACACAAGAGAATAAGGAGGTTCTTGGTAATGTGGCTATCCTCTGATATCTCTGTCATTCAGACATTTCCAGGTTGTCCTTTGAGACCTGACACTGTTGTTAATTGTATTATACCAAGTTGTGCTGTTCTTCTCAGTAATGTCAACACCTTTTTTTCTCCATTTCTATTTTATTTCTCAATTTTTCCATCTTTCTGTGCAAGTTTTGTGGCATACAGTGAGCCAGTACCAGCTGAAAATGTTAACAGCCCTGCTTTCAGAGCTCCAGTTCTGTTGATTTTAGAAAGCTGAAAGGTAAAGCTAAGTAATTTTAGAAAGCTGAAAAACACGCTGTGAAAGAAATGAATTTAAAAAATAAACTTAGAATGAGTTTCTCAACATGATATTTACACTTTTTTAAGTTTGAAAGTAGCATTAGTGTTTTTTGTTTTCAGTAAAAATTTTGTTTTGGAAGTTTCCATGTCGGCAACGGCCCACACAGTAGTCTGTTGACTTGTGCTGCCGTCTCACAGCTCTTGGATCATGCTATTTCTGAGTTCTCTCTTTGTTTGTGTGGATTATTAACAGGTCCTCAAATTTCCTTCCACTTGATTAGTTGTGATTGGCTGTTATTACTGGTCCCTCACCCTCTGGTCCTGTGATCAGAGGACCAGAGGAGACGGGGGGAGACTGTCCACCTGTCTGGAGAATGCCTCTTGTCTACTCAGTTCTGCCTAGTGCCCTTGTGTTAGTGGGATAAGCTCTGCCTGGCCTGAGCATCTCTAGCATTACCGACTTTGTGATCGTGGAATAACATGTGCTCCTGCCAGTGTGCTAATAAACCTACCATTCATAGAGCAGCAGCAGCTCTGCGCAGGAATGGGTTAAATGTCAGTGTTATTATTCATTTGTGGATGCAAAAGACCCCCACTTTAGAAAAAAATAAAGTTTCAGTTGGTTACAGACCAACACGGCCAAACATTTACAATGCTTTTCATATTTAAAGTTTTACAGCTCTTCTTTTTACACATCACCCAACTTTTTGTTGAAATGTACCCGGGCACAGCTCTGTGTACACCATTTTGGCATTACTATTGACTTTGAATGACACATTGATCTAAACATGTGCGTAAGCATTTATTAATTTTCCATTCTGTCTTGCTTAAGTAAAATCCCAGACTGGTTACACTATTACTCAATAAAAGTGCATTGTTTTCTTTTCCATTTTTTTTTGCCTTGGCTGATCATTGCCAATGTCTAGACAGAACCGCCTAGGCTACCCAAGACTTACTGCAACTGCGTGTGACAGTAAATACATGAGATGCACTTCTCTCAGGATTCAGTTCCAGGCAGCAGGGCACTAAGACTCAAGGTCAGGGTAAGCCTAGGGGAGAGACGGGCGTTGTCTGAGAGCCTGTGATGATGTGGAAGGTTGTGGATAGAGAGCTTTGATTACTAAAGGAAATTGAAAATAATTGGTTATTTTGCCTTAACCTAACCCTTGATTGGACCACATCAGAACTGATCAGATAGACAAAGCAGTGGAAATCTGTTATTTCAGTTTATCTTCAGATCTATGTACAAAAGAGAATCTGGAAACAGGCTACCAACCTGGACTGATTTCAACCGGTCCAAGCTGGCACACAAATAGACCTGATCACCTGTCAAATAAACGGGACAAACCAGAAAGACACGAGAATAGGACAAATCTGTAGTTTCAAAATGGTTTGGTCTATGTTCAAGCTTTGCAACTTACAGAAGGTTGAAAAGTTTGTACAGATGTATGAAATCTATTTTTACCGGACCTGCTCAGAAATTGTTAAAGGTGAAAATGTATTATTTTTTTAAGAGGTTTATTTGCATACAATTTACATTATAGAATTCCTCAAATTATTTTTGCACCTCAGATTTTAATATTGTTTTTTAATATCTTATTTTAATATTGTAAAAAAATAAAATAATAACACATAAGGACACATCCAAATGCTTTCAGAACTGATCAAGCATATAGTTGCAACATGAAAATTTAAATTTTCTTTGCTTGTTTTGCAAAATAAGAAGTTAATATTTAGCGACCTGTGTGGTGATGTGCTTTTTCTCCCCCTGTGTCCTTTTTGTGCTGCTTCCCTGATTCCCTGATTTCAATAAGTCTTTGCCAGCTTGTACAAACGTGCCTCTGGAAGCTTTTGAAAGAAAAGAACAGAGAAAGAGAGATTTAGGCACTTAGAACTTTCAGCTTCTCCTTAATGGCCCTGAATAAAAGACATCAGAGCAAATTTGTTCCATTTTAATGGTAATTTAAGTTTTCTTAAAGCTCCATGTCTATATATTTTTGTAGCACATACCGTAACCAACAACTTACTGTAGGGAGAACTTGAAGAATATCAGGAGCATAATGTATGTGATGTTGTACACAGGGGCAGTTTCGGATTGAGTAATTTTACCTAAGATCTAAAGTCCACATTGAACAGCTGAATTTTACACTTATGCTTCTTATATTGTTGCATCAAACATCTTGTGACATTTGCTGTGATCAACAGAGCTACAGATGGCAAAGTAGTTTATAGAAGCTGGATCTGCCTCATTGTGAGACTTCAGATGTGAGTGGATGATATTCTAAGGTTCATTAGTTACCAGAAAAAAATAAGCAGGATAACTCATCTGGCATCCTTTTGTGTACAACACTTCTGAGGCTCTTATTGTCCTACTTTCAGTATGTGACCCTTTTAAAATATAAGACTGTCAACATTAGCTTCTTACACCCAAAGACATGGATCCTGACCTACTTGGC